AGCCCCGGGGGCTTTGGGGGAGCATTCAGAACGCAAAGGTAGCACAGTACTTGTGTGTCTTGCAGAAGGACGAACGTTCTGGGTCCCGCCAGAGGAACGCTGTGCCTTGCCTTGTGTTCACACCGTGGCAGGCACTTCTCATCCATTCTTGTTTTCCATGGCGTCCTTCCATAACCCTGAGAGGACACATTCTCAGGATCCCCTCCTACAGATGAGAAAGCTGAGGCCCAGAGACTGGCTGCCACAGAGGGGCGTGCCAGAGGCGGGCTCCAGTTCAAATGGGTAGACGGTGTGTATAAGTGCTGGGTGCTAGTTACGCTCCCCGGGTCCTCTGTTTCTATCTCCCTGCCCTTCTCAGCTTCAAGGTTTTTGTGGCTGTGGTTGTCATTTCAGAACTCCAACCCATGTCAGTTGTGCTAGTCCAAGGGAGGTGGGAGAAACCTTTATAAGGCATCTACTATGCTGGGCGTCTCTGTGTCTCCCCTGGTCTTCCTGGTAACCGTGCAAGTGGCTTTATTATACCTATTTTACAAATGGCACACTGAGGCTCAGGGAAGTAGAGTAGTGGCCTATGGCCACCAGGCAGGCTGTGATGGGACAAGATTCACACCCAGCTCCTGGATGGCTGGAAGGCAGAGGGCAGGTGCCAACGTGGAGACGGGCAAGTGGGGGACGCTGACGACAAAGCAGGGCGAATGAGCAAGGGCACAACCTTAAGGCTGCAGTGTGGGCAGAGACAGAATACCTGCTGTGGCCAGGCACTCCACGGGCTTGGCGCCAAAGTGACTGGAGGTCTAGACACATCTTAACCCAGCCGCGACCAGGTGTTGAGCGCTCACCGTGCATCTGGCCTGAGACCGAGAGCTGACGTGCAGGCTCCCACAAACAGCCCAAGGGGGTAAGCGCTAGATCAGCTCCATTTTACAGATGAGGAAGCTGAGGCATGGTGGGTGAAGTATATGGTCAAAAGTCACAGAAGCAAGAAAGGGGAGCGGGGGAGCCAGCAGGTGGCATGGTGGTTAAGGCACTGGACTCTCACATGGCCAACTGTGGTTCAAGTCTCAGACTTGGTGGCTTGAAAATTATACAGGGTATGTGTGCATGTGTGCCCAAAATCCCAAGAGGAGAATAGAGGAGATTGTGGCAAGGCCATGTCTCC